AAAACAGACCAGTAAGTCTCTTGGAAATCCATTTGGAGCCTTGGGTACCCTATAGTAGTATTCCATCTGGATTGCTTTGGCTTTAGTTGAGGAGAGGATAGATTTCAGCAGTTTCCTTATATAGTGGGGTATTTCATTATCATCCACTTCCTCAGGGATCCCTCTGACACAGAGATTTTGTTGATGTATAAGAGTCTTCCAAAGCAGCCACTTTGCTCTCCAGGTTCATGTTGGTCAACTTGCAGTGATCCATGTCTTTCTGGAGATTGGTTAATTTATCTTGAATGGTGCTCTTCGCATCTATCTTGGAGATGGCTTTTAATTCCTTCAAGAGGATGTTGGTTGCTGGCGTGTGTTTCAGATCTGTAACTGAGCCAGCTCATGTATTTTCTAGCTCCCTTAGGTTGCTCACCTCTTCCATTTCTCCCTCCTCCAATATGGAACCTGAGACATCCCTCAGGACGCCATCTTGGCTGGATGGTAGTGCGGGGAAACCCGTAGAAGTTCGCCAATATTCTAAGCTCAAGCATTTGCCTCAGTTCGTAGCTAACTTCCTGTCATTATTTATTTTAATGTCCCCCATCCAATCCCCATGTGTGATGGGGTCTTTCTCGATGGGTACATATGGAGGTTTTAAACCTCCCTTATAGTAATATGGGGATCTTATTGATCCCAGAGTCTTTATTTATTTATTTATTTATTTATTTTTCTTTAGCTAGTAAGCGCTAGCCTGTCACCATACAAATAAACCTTTAATTGTTGACAGTTTTTAACTGGCAACAGGAAATAGTATTTCTAGATGCATGCAGTTCTGAATTTGTTCTCAGAGTACAGCTATACCTTACATGTACAGTTGTGCTCAAACGTTTGCATACCCTTTGGAGAATATATGTGGACATTGGAGAGGCCTGGCTGCCCACCTCCTACCTGCTGACTATGGCCCCTGGTAAATTTGTACTTTTAATGCAATATTTCGGCATATGATATTGTATATTGCTGCTATTGGCCCTTTAAGGGCCATCTGGGGACATATTATGACTTTTAGGAACAATACCCCTTTAAGACTTGGTAGCAGATTACAGTAAGGATGTCTTTTATATTATGTATGTTTCTGTGTGTTCGGCTAAATTGTATATGTGTATGCAGCATTCCCCTGATTGTTCGGTAGAATCACTCCATTCATTATATTGAGTGAAACTACCGAACAACCAGACCACCCGGGAGTAAGTGTGCCTCCAATTACCGTTTGCAACAATGTTGCAAACGGGTAATTGGCAATCGATGTAATGTGTGGTTTTGTCCTCTGGGTGGCCGCCATTCGGGAAACGAACACGTGGCGGCGGCCATCTTAAACTCCCGAACAGCGGTGTTTTGCCGTCGAGTGTTTGGAACTAAAATCGGACACTCGACTGGGCAAACACCGCTGAGACCTCCAGACTTCCATGAATTCGTGTGGAAACTACCGAATAACCCGCCGTTTGGTAGAAAGAACCCCACGAACAAGGGAATTCGTTTAAACCCTCCCCAGGCTCTATAACCCAGGCAATTCGTGTGTTTTCATTCCCTTTTCTGTGACCGACTGCAGGGCCAAAATACATGGAACTATTTTCGGATACTTTTGCCATGCAGTCGGTCAAAACTTTAACCCTCCATAATTCCCGAACCCCTGGTCCGATCTGGGTGATTTTTGGATATGTGTCTCACCCAGATCAGGGCTACCAGGGGATGCAACATTTAAAGGGGTAACCCTATGTTTAGGGGTACATCCAGTAACCCAGGGAATTTGTGTCTGTACTAATGGGATTATGTGTCACACTAAGGGGAGGAGATGTGTGGGAGGTAACTGGTACATTATTGGCTGGGGTACTAATTGTTTTGGATCCCTCCCTTGCATGGGAGAATGTCTTAAAAGGAGGTTGTGTGAATAAAGCTTCAGTTCCTGCTTAACCCTCAAAGTGAAGTGTCGTCTCATTACTGGGGGAGGATTTATTGTATGCTGTTCCAGTTTGACTGCTAGGAGTGTAAACCTATTTGCATGGTTTTTCCTATTCGGCTGTATACAACATTCTTATGCTTAGAAGTACTCATATGCTTCTCCGGTTCGGTGATTGTGGTGTCTGCCAGAGTGCTTGGAGTCCTCAGGAAACGCTAGGAGCATCCATCAACGGAGGTACCCAGTCGGGGTGCCAGGTGATCCGTTACAATATGTACTATTTTTAAAGAGAACGTGAGTGAGCAGGCAAAATACATTTCTTTTATTTCTTATGGTATTCATATTCAAGTGTAGGTTAAATGACCCCTGTTCAAAAGACTGTATACCCTTAGTTCTTAATATTGTGTATTGCCCTCTTTAGCATCAATTACAATGTGCAGTGTTTTGCAATATTTTTCTATGAGGCCCCTCATTCTTGCAGGTGGTATAACTGCCCATTTGTCTTGGCAAAATGCTTCCAGTTCATGCAAAGTCTTTGGTTGTCTTGCATGGACCGTACGTTTGAGATCTCTCCAGAGTGGCTTGATAATATTAAGGTCAGGAGACTGTGATGGCCACTCCAGAACCTTCACCTTTTTCTTCTGTAACCACTGGTGGGACAAATTCGCCTTGTGCTTTGGTTCATTGTCATGCTGGAAAGTACAAGAGTGTTCTATGCGCATCCTTCGTGCAGAAGAATGCAAATAGTCTGCCAGTATATTCTGATAACATGCTGCATTCATCTTGCCATCAATTTTCACAAGATTCCCCGTGCCTTTAGAGCTTACCCCCCCAAAACATCAGTGAGTCACCAGCATGCTTCACAGTGGGAATGGTATTCTTTTCACTATAGGCCTTGTGGAACCCTCTCCAAATACAGCACCTATAGTTGTCACCATAAAGCTCTATTTTGGTATTGTCACTTCAAATTACAGTGTGGCAGAAGCTGTGAGACATGTCAAGGTGTTGTTGGGCATATTATAACCGGGCTTTTTTGTGGCATTGGCCCAGTGAAGGCTTCTTTCTGGCAACTCGACCATGCAGCTCATTTTTGTTCAAGTATCATCATATTGTGCTCCTTGAAACAACCACACCTTCTTTTTCCAGAGCTGCCTGGATTTCTCCTGAATTTACCTGTGGGGTTTTCTTTGTATCCCGTACAATTCTTTTGGCAGTTGTGGCTGAAATCTTTCTTGGTCTACCTGACCTAGACTTAGTATCAAGAGACCCACAAACTTTTCACTCCTTAAGTAATTGAACAGTAGAGACTGGTATTTTCAAGGCTTTGGATATCTTTTTATATCCTTTTCCATCTTTATAAAGTTCCATTACCTTGTTACGCTGTTCTTTTCTGCTCCCCATGGCTCATTATCTAGCCTGCTCTGTGCATCAACGTGAGATCTAACAAACTCATTGTCTATTTATACACAGGCACTAATTGCAATTAAAAACGCAACAAGTGTAGGAAATTAACCTTTAATTGCCATTTTAACGTGTGTGTGTGTCACCTTGTGTGTCTGTAACAAGGTCAAACATTCAAGGGTATGTAAACTCAAGGCATGTTGGGTGATTTCTTTTATCATTATTATTTAAAAAGAAGCCAAACAGGGCGGGGCCTAACTGGCGTGGTGGCTGAATGCGTTTTCTTGGAGCTCCAAGCCAGCAATCATTACCCTTATCTGACTACCAATGCGCCCAAACACTCTCATATCGTGCCCTACCTAATGCATAAGTTGGCCAGGGCTCTTCTGTGAATTTCCGAGTCTCCTGTAATCCCCAGAGATTTTGGTAAGGCCCGGTGTTTACATCAGACAGGTGAGGCTGATAGCTTGTGCCATGTGACACTGAGACCCTGCAGTGTACTGTGCAGATCTGTTCCCCCCCCCCCCTTTGGACTGGTGTTGGGGGTTATCCCGGTCCCCACTGGTATACTCTACATAGTAACAGGCCCCCACATCGCCTCCACTGAATATTTCTCACGCACTCACTCACTCACTCACACTCTTGTGACACACTCCAGACAAAGCCTGAGACAAAAACCTCTGACTGGGTTGAAAGGTCCTTCCAGAGACTGGATGCTCTCTTTGAGTGCTTTTGGGCAACCCTGAAAGCAAGGCTCACTAATGTGTGGTACCAATCTCAACATGGTGCCTGGAGCTGAGAGACATGGGAGGAAGGTGGACACCCTCCTGGCAATACACAGCCTCCAGCATGGAAATCTACTGCTACAAACCCGCTTGGGCTGAGGGCCCCAAAGTGTGAGACCACTAAGCATCCACCACACGGGCAGGGCACCGACCGCTTTCGGCAGCAGCACAACACTGCAGGGCCTCCTGTCTCTCCCAAGCGAAGGAGGACATGGACTCTTGAAGCCCCAAGTCAGTGGGATATACACACTGTTCCAAATTATTATGCAAATTCTACTTAAGTGTCACAAAGATTAAATATTTAGTTTTTCAGTTTAACTCATGGATGGCATTGTGTCTCAGGGCTCTTTTGATCACTAAAACAATCTCAGACACCTGTTAATTAAATAATTAGATTGCCAGGTGAG